GGCGTGTTCGGGGAAGGACCGGGGCCTCCGGGCCTCCTCCCTCCGACCCGGGCGTCCAGGCTCCCGGCCCCTCCTCCCTCCGACCCGGGCGTCCAGGTCTCAGTTGCACACCTGCCAGTCCGTTCCCGCAAAGCCTCCTCCCTCCGACCCGGGCGTCCAGGTCTCAGGTCTCTCTTGCACACCTGCCAGTCCGTTCCCGCAAAGCCTCCTCCCTCAGACCCGGGAGTCCAGGTCTCACTTGCACACCTGCCAGTTCATTCCCTCAAAGCCTCCTCCCTCAGACCCGGGAGTCCAGGCTCCCGGCCCCTCCTCCCTCCGACCCGGGAGTCCAGGTCTCAGTTGCACACCTGCCAGTCCGTTCCCGCAAAGCCTCCTCCCTCAGACCCGGGAGTCCAGGCTCCCAGCCCCTCCTCCCTCAGAATCGGGAGTCCAGGCCCTTCCTTAGGTCCCTAGACTTCCTGCCCCAGTTGTTCCAGGGCCATCTGATGACCCAGACACTGGCCCTGGGAGACCGTGTGACAAAGGAGTTGATGTCAGGGCTCCGTGCTCACTAATGAGCCCCAGCCACCTCATTAAGATCTGGCATGGCAGGATTAAGAGGTCAATTAAGGAAGACCCCCATCCCTCCCCCGCCTCAGTCTGTGGGGGAGGGGCAGCGGGTGGGTGCATGGAGAGTGGAGGTCTTGCCTCTGCCACTTCCTCCTCACCCTCACCTGAGACACCCCTCGGGACTGTGACGTTTTCTGTCCTGGAAACCGAGGTGTGGAAACCAGAGAGAGTCACAGAACTGGAGATGGGGAGCCCTGGGGGACCCCAGAGCCACGAGATGGCAGCAGAGGGGGGAGCGGGAACCCCACCTGGATTTTCTGGGGCTGGCACCCCTTCCCCCTCCCTCGGAGGTCACGGGGAGTTTGGAGTGCTGATGGGGCAAGAGGAAGTGGGGTACAGACGAACCCGTAGGGCCAGATGCCCACAGCCACTTCCTGCCTGTGGTCACCTCCCACACCTGGCCCAGATGGGCGCAGGCCGGAGGTGCTCAGATGATCACACAGTGAGCGCTTTCTGCCTACAAGGCGCTGCCTGACGCTTCTAGTTAATTTCCTCTTCCCAGCAAAGGTGAGCAGGTGGAGCATGTGTAAGCAAAGAAGAGGGGATGGCAGCTGTGTGTGAAGCCATGCGTGTGCATGCATGTGTGTGCACGTGTGCACATGTTCGTGTGTGTGTGTGCCACCTGAAGCCTGCCGGTACTGGTCTTTCCCCCACCACAATTCTGTGAGGGGTGCTACTGTTAGCCTTATTTTACAGGTGTGGAAACGGAGGCCAGCCTCCAGGCCTGGTCCCAGATCACCCCACCTGCTTCCACAGGCACTTCCTGCCCCAGATTCCCTCGAGATGCAGAGAGACACACGTGATCAGACACTCACCGCTGGTGGGGGAGCAGAGCTCACGCCCCGGTGACGGTGCCCTGTAATTGAGGGCGGTCTGCGCGCCAGGCATTGCTCTTGGCCCATTTGGTGGAGTCATTAATTCAATTTCCACGTCCACCCCAGGAAGTAGACACCACTGTCATGCCCATTGTGCAGAAGAGGAAACTGAGACACAGAGAGGTCTAGTCACTCGCTCAGGGCGGCACAGGCGGTACAGGATGAGTTGTGTACATCACCCACAGTCTCAGATAAGGTACAAAAGAGGTCACAGATTCACATCGCCTCCAGGAAGAAACACGGGCTCACAAAGAAGCAGACGGGAGACAGTCTTGAACTCACTGACTCTCACAGCCCTGTAGAAGTGGGAACTAGTAATAATAATATCTCCATTTACAGGTGAGGTCACTGAGGAAAGGGCGGTGGGTGATCAGCCCTGGGAATGCTGGGAATGAGCCAGGGCCTTGGGAGATGGAGGGGGGACATTTAGGAGGGCAGACCCAAATGCACATGTGAGGCGTAGCCCCACTGCACCCGGAAGTCCCCAGCAGAGTCCCAGACAAACACTGGCAGAGCCACGACAGCCACAGCCAGGGTCACTCCCCTAGCCACCACCAGCACACAAACCCACACCCTTGTCCTTGCCACCCAAGGAGTCAGAACTGACCTGAGCTGTTCCCAGGTCAGAATCCAGGGCAGGGCGTGGACAGAAACCAGAAGGAAGGGCCACGGAGGGCCCGTGGATTGGGGTTGTACCCCTCTTCTGCCTGTCCCCCGCCCGGCCACAGTTTTCCCATCATCTCCTTTCTGGGTGTCTCACCCATATCTGTTCCACACTCCCTCAACAGCCAACGATGACATGATTTACAATAACATAAATTATTGTAGAGATGAGGTCTCGCCAAGTTGCCCGGGCTGGTCTTGAAACCCTGGGCTCAGGCAGTCCTCTTGTCTCTGCTTCCCAAAGTGCTGGGATTATGGGCGTGAGCCATCACACCTGGCGGCATGTGACCTCTTCTTAAAGAGTTATTTTTATAAGGATAGCAAGGGTCCAGAGTCTCCCCTGCTTTTCCGCTACAAATTCTCTAAACAAACACTTTAGAGGTGCCTCTAGTGGTCAAGCCCGTGCTCTGGGATATACTCATGAAAGAAGCCCAAACCCAGGCAGCCACTCCCTCACTCAAACCCTCTATGGCTCTCCAATGCCCTCAGGAGAAATGCCAGCTCTCTGACCAGCATTCGAGGCTCTGGGCTTGTGGTCCCTGCCTCCATAACTTGTCCCCTCATCTTAGGGCTTCTGCTCCTGACATTGGCTTCCTGGGCACACTCTTTTCTCTCCCCACATCTCCTACTCAGTAGCTCTTGCCACCCCCCAACCTTCCGCTTTAGGGCGGTCACATTTACCCAGGGAGCCTATGAAAAAGTGCATTTCCAAGTCCCCCACCACTACAGGAGCAGTTAAGGCTGGCACGTGGGGACTCAGCCTCCAACAGGCTACTTTCCAAACAGGCCAGGGCCTGGGTGACCACCACAGAGCCCTCACGTGTCTCGTGAAATGTTAAAACATGAGCAACTGGCCGGGCGCTGTGACTCACTCCTGTAATCCTAACACTTTGGGAGGCCGAGGCAGGAGGATTGCATGAGGCCAGGAATTTGAGACCAACACCATGAGACCTCATCTCTCCAAAACAAACAAAAAGCAATGGTGCAACCCCTTTGAAAAGGATTTGACGATTTCTTGTAAAACCAAACACACCCCCACCCTACACGCTGGTGGTCCTGCTCTGAAGTGTTCAGCCGAGAGAAAGGAAAGCCAGCCGGTCCGCACAAAGACCTGCTCATCGGCTCACGGTGCCTTTTCCTAAGCCCTGAGCTGAGAATCCAGGTGCCCACCAGCAGGTGGGCAGAGGAGCGAACGGGTCCATCCACCCAGCAGAATACCACCCAGCAAGAAGGGGCGGGCTTCTTCAACACATGTGCTTGCAACACGTGATGGCAGGGGAATAAGTGGGGCACAAAAGAGCATCCGCTGTGCGACTCCATTTCTCTGAGATTCTGGAAAAGGCATAGCTAGAGTCAAAGACAGCAGCTCGGTGGTTGTGGAATGCTGGGGGACTTGCCTCTGTGGAAAGAGACAGGAGGACGAACATTCTGAGTGATGAGAAAGTCCTATCTTAACGGTGGGTGCTGTTCTATGTGTATGCAATTGCCAAAGCTCATCTAATTGTCTATTTAAAATGGGTGTAAGCTGGGCTCGGTGGCTCAGCCTGTAATCCCACGCCTTTGGGAGGCTGAGGTGAGTGGATCACCTGAGCCCGTGGGTTCAAGACCCGCCTGGGCAGGCGAGACCTCATCTCTACAATAAATCAAAAAATTAGTCGGGCATGGTAGCGCGCTTGTAGTTCCAGCTACTTGGAAGGCTGAGGCGGAAGGATCGCCGGAGCCCAGCAGGTCGAGGCTGCGGTGGCCAGGAGCAGCCACTGCACTCCAGTCTGGGTGACAGTGAGACTCCAGCTAAA